GATATTTATAATACCGTGTTTCCCACAGGTGGTAGTGTTTATTCTTGGAATCATAAAATTGCCTGAATTTCTCAGGTTAAAACTTCGGTTGCTTAAATTAAATTATTATTAATTCAAAATATTTCCCAGATTCTGATTGGCTAAAAGCACACGTTTAATTCACCATAACCAGTTACTGATGACCAAATTTGGAAGAAATTTGACTTTAACGAGGAAATGACGTCAAAAATGCAGCGTTTTCGCAGGTTAAGGCACCGTTAACCGAGAAGACCTGGGGACGAGGTTGAGTTGTTTTGGTTGTGAACTTGAAAAAATGGTGGACATTTCACTCGTTTCAAAAGTAAGAAGTAGGCGAAAAAATAGCTAAAAACATGGCAAGAACAGCAAGAAGACAACTCGAAGGGCGACATCTGCTATTTGGAGAATATTTGCGGAGCTGGACAAACCTAAACGTACACTATCGAAGATAAGTGAACATCGATGGATCGATGGAGGTAAGCATGTTTTAGCTATGTTTTTAAACTAGGAATTATTTTGAATGAATAATAAAACGGTTATTGAATTCGTCTTTCGTATCATATGAAGAATTATGGAGATCTCGGAGGGTGTTATCCGCCTCGGCCTACGGCCTCGACGGATAACACCCTCCTTGATCTCCATAATTCTTCATAAGATACTCAGCCTCAGTCATTAACTGTTAAATATCGGATATATAACTAGGGCATAAATTATACTTAACTTTGTACTTTATTATTGCTATTTCCTTCAGCCTATGGTTTAGCAGTGAGGAGAGTTTAGCCCTTACAAGAAGTTCCTTGTATGCACTACTTTTATCACAATAGACTGATCTACGGGGTGTTTCAAAAGTTCGTTGCGATTTTTTATTCGCTTAAATTTCACTAATTATTAACAAAAAAACCTTTTGTAAAACTTAGTATGTTATTCATTATTCATTTAACATTGAATAAATAAAATATTAGTAAACAGAATGTCTTCTTGTATGTTTTCTGACATTTTCTAAGAGGTGAATGCGAGCGAGCTCCCAAAGGGTGTCCAAAGTCACATTCTTCCAGGCGAAGCGTAGTCACTGTCTTAGCTCGTCCAGTGTTTTGGGGGCTGGATCTTTGTATGTTGTCTCGTCTACGATAATCCAGATGGTGTCTAGGGGGTTCAAATCACGTGAGTTTGCCGGCGGGTCCTCCCTTGGTATAAAGTTGGCAAATCCTTCTGACACCATGATTACATGAAGTGTGCCCCACCTTTTTCTCTTCAAGGCTTTCCAACTTTTTTTTGTAAATTTTCCCCATACCGTTGTGCTCGAAACTTTGATCGATAATGTGAAGTTGAAATTTTTTTACCTTTCTGTTTTGTGGAATTATTACACATATACTTACAGCTTTTTCGATAATATTTCTCACACAGTTTGTGAAAAAACGGCCATCCACTCCTTGGTTCATCTTCTAAGGTCTTTACTTTTGACCACTTGTTCGGTCATCGTTCAGACTTCTTCAACAATTTGGCATTTGTTTTGGACTGAATGGCCAGAAAACCCAAAAATTTAGATGCCTGAGCTCTAGCACAAACAGTGCAAGCCATCATTCCTGATCATTTTCATGAAGGAGTAGAGAAAATAAAATAAAACGTTAAAAATACCAAAACAGAAAACCTACAAAATGGGCAGAAAAGTATATGGGGGAACTCGCGTGCGTGTACAGTTGGGGCAAAAATTAAAAAAAAATTATAATTTCTTCAAACTTTAGTCTGAAATTGCTTTGAACGGTTATTTAGATAAATTTCTTACCTGAAACATTTTACATTTGCCTAAAGAAGCATTAAATGCTTTGCGCAAAATACCATTTACAATCGGAAAGAACTTTTGAAACACCCTGTATGCGCTCTTTCTTGGAGTCTCTCAATCTTCGGGCTATCAGATTTTCTACAAAAGTGCCATACCGTCTGACGATAAATTAATTGTGGAAAATAAAAGATTTGTCAATGCGGGATAGGCTGTTTATCGAGTTACGAGCTTGAGTTGGGTTAGAGTTACGTTTGAGTTGAGTGTGAGTTAAGATTGAGTTAATTATGAGTTACCAAAAAAATGCCCTTTTTGCACAGAAATGTTTTTCACCGTTTATTTATTTATTTATTCATTAATTTATTAATCTTTATTATTGCTTTTTTATGACTTGTGCGGGTAGGTACACTCCTGCATTGAGAAACGATACTCTTCATGGGCACACGGCAATGGAGAGCACTCTTCACATATATGTTCTATGGATATAAGATGATCTTTTATAGAAAAGCAATATACTGAAACATAAAACTTCTTTGTCAGTCGCTAGATACCCGGTATTGTCCCTTTTCAACTGATCTCTCTTCCTAGCCGATGACAAAAGAGAATAATTTTATAAGGAGCATTGTGCAAAAATTTGCAAAAAGCGAAGGAAAAAAAGGACCAGTAACTGTTCTCTTAATTCCCACGGTTGTTAATGCATTTGCGACTGACTTTGTAGCATTCCATCGTGCATGTTCTAATCTTGCGGTTTCCAATTGCACTAATTGTCGCTTGGACTCCTGATCCCAGATTTTTCAATGCAAAGTGCTCTCTGTTATTTAAAGTAACATTGTTACTATCAGAATCGGCTTCAAATTCAACGGTTTTTCTGTCATGTTGCATTGCTTAGGATCGAAACACTACTGAGTTTTCCCGATATAGTGTGCTGGTATTTTCATCAAAACGAAGAAGACCTAATGTCCTATGTACTCTTGGACTCCCATAGAAACTCGGCTTTAATTTTCTATCACGCCAGCTTCATTTAATGCTAGGATATCAATTTATCACTGTTTATTTGATACGTTTCAGGCGGTTTGCATAACTTGCTACAGTTAGGTCCCCCTATTTTACCGTAAGATCGACGTAGAGATCGAGCACGTGCGCTCGATTTCAATAATGTTACCTTACGGAAAAAATGGGGCCTTTTTTATAGTCGCAACTCTTTGATCATTCACGCATTTTCTCTGCCAAAGTAAGGTACGATTTATAGCTGTCTAGTTTTTACTAAAATGTTATCGTTAAAGAAATAAAGTAAAGAAGTGGCATTAAGAATTTACGTGACCAGTATAGTCTATTTGATTTTCTTGAATTTGAAGAACGACCTCTACAATCATCGCTCTTGTCTCCATTTGAGACTGTATGGGTATTTTCGCTGAAATCGAAGTCGAGACAATCGCATAGTCATTCCTAAATCCACCAAAAAGTGTGGTGCACGGTCAGCTTACTATATTTATTGGCAATTTTATCAAGTTACTTTATTGCTAATCTGCCTTAAGTATTTCCGTTCGTTTTTTAATACCCAGTCCCCAGTTCGCAGTGCGTATTTTATACTTCTCAATACTGACAGCACAAAAACCAAGATCTCAAAAAAACAAAATAGAGCAAGTCACGGTTTTAAAATATAGAACTATTGTGCACAAAGTCTTTCGGAGATTGACGAAGAGGTTGTTTTGTTAATTCACTTCAGCCTTCTTCAGAATAATTTATTGTTCAAAGAGTGCTTTCTGCAGCAGTCTTGATCTTCTTGGTGAAATCGAGGAACATGATAACAGGAATTAAGCGATTGTAATCATACGTTCTTTTAGTACTGAAATAATGTGCTTATTATTAATAAGCCTGTTCCAGGCGTTCAGAATGTGGTCAAGGATCCTTACTAAAGGCGGAATTCCAAGGCTGCTGGGGAGGGGAGGTGTGGCTGTCTACACCCTTTCCCTTGTAAAATTGAAAAATAATTGTATTTGCGCACTTTACAAGCAAAAATATGTGTAACACTGATAATATTTGCCATCATTTGCATTCTCAAAGTGTAAAAATTAAAAAATAAAATAAAAATGAAAGCTAAAAAAGCTTACTCAAACCCAACTCAATCTTAACTCAAACTTAACTCAAACTCAACTCTAATTCAACTCAGACTCGTAACTCGATCATTATCCTATCTCGTTCATCTAAATGGCTATTACACTTCAGCTGCTCATTAAAGGTGACACCCAATACCTTCATTTCTGGACCACTTTCTACGTATTTGTCATAGACTTTGCTTTTCATTACTTCGTTTGAGTGCCTTTGCCTTAAACTCATCGATTGAAATTTGTCACGATTACATTTATTTTCAACAAATTGAGTTGGTACCAGTTTGATATTTCCCTTCCCTCGTCCGTTAAAGTCCCGTTTCCACATCTCCCATCGTTTCACCACTAACATAAATTTGATGGTAATCTGCGTGCATCTTGATGCTGCTTGTGCACAGCGTTGTAGATCAGGTCGTTCTGGAAAACATTCCATAAGAGTGGTCCAAAATTTGAGCGTGGGGGACAGCCTCTAAACATTGCTTTCCATTCGCTCGAAGTCTCAATTCCAATTCTAACACTATTTGTTCTTTCTAAGAAGTACGACCTTAAGAGACCGATAGCTTAAAGGTTAATCAAAATCGTCACGTTATACTGCTATACTGTCAAGCTTTATTTTGGGAGGCATAGACATTGGGGAAATTAATGTCCCAGTTAAAGTAACACCAATCGCCTCTTGTTTAAAAAGGCTAAGTATATATGTGTCTATCCCATTTAACCGGTTAGGAGTAGCTATACACTCAATCCAGAAAAAAAGCTTAATTGTAATCTACACTTCTCAAAATGTTACGCCACTGCATCGTGCTGTCGGCAGCCCAATGAATCCCCTCTAAGTGGGTCTTGTTCTCCCCTCGTTACTCTAATAGTTTAGACACTTGATCAGCTGTATACATAGTTATTAAGCTCAAGTATAAAGTAGACAAATTTTCAGAACTGTTTATCAGGAAAAAACCTTTTCTGTTCATCAGAAAATCTTTCCCTCTTGGGGTAGTATTGATAATCACAAGTGAATCCGTCTCTAAGGAACCTAAAATGATTCTTTTCACAAAAGTTGACTATACGTTAAGCCATGATTACAACCGTACTTCTTACAGTATAAGTTACACGTCCTGAATAAGCAGGTCCAAATCATCTGCCAAAATTTGGTGGTCTTCCATCCTTTGGGAGGGATTTTGCTCTTTGTTTGGAGTTACCTTTACGCTGACCTTGTGTACCTTGGGCGAATTTACATCATGCCAAAGGTCCACAAAATTATTTTCTCGACACATACCGTCGTCACTGGCCCGCACACAAATGGGACTCTCTTCGTAATCGGCAATGATTTCTTGGATGTCCCGGGAGGTAAAGTGCTCCTCCGGTACACGCACACAACATGACGAGACGCAGCAGCAGCCATCATCCAAGATAAAAGGAGATGGATCCTGTCGAATTCTTTGCACTTTCTTAGCAAGAAGTTGCAACTTCTCAGCCTTAATTGAAAACAAATTGATGGAACTAAACCAATGATGTGGGCATTTCATTCTCCGAAGGGCAATGTGAAGCTCTGTCAGTAATGTTAGAAAGCATATTTCAATGTTTTCGTCTGCCCAGAAACCGACTGGTAATTTTTCCATAGTGTTAAGAAAAATAGTTTTAATGTGGTATGAACCGATTTCAGGAACTACTGGCTGGAGATGGTCCTTTAGGATGATTTTCAATGCCAAGAAACATTTCTTTGCTGTATCTGGTACTAGCTTAGATAGTTCACATTCTGCCACAGAGAAAGAGAATCTCCAGCTTTTGTTCTCCTTGTCGCTTGGTGCCGACTTTGCTACCACATGACAGCCAAGTGACATAATCCTCTGCGCATCAGCCATACTAGGCCAGTAGCGTGGTCGAGAAGGCCAGTCACTATTGGTTGGCCACTCAGGGCAGTAGAAACAAAATGTGACGTCCAACTCAAAACCAGCAGGCACGCTAATCTTCAATGCTGGCCCCTTGGATTCGACATGTATTTTTGGCGCCAAAACATACCATGGTTTCTTAGGAAAATTGAGAAGAGGGGTGCTTTTCACAGAATCTTCGACTTCATTTATGACAAGCCTTGGGCTGGTCCAAATCGTTTTGTGCATAGGAGTAAGGCGAAATAGCTTAGTGTATCCAATAACCTTGACGCCATCGATAAAAAGGGGTGCCAAATGTATGTCCCCTTGACCTGAAAAACAAGCTCTTACTGCCATGGGGCAAATCATGACGTCAAGATCAGTGTGAAGAGAACCAAGACTGAAACCAGCGCAGCAGCTATTACCTAACAGCATCCGTGGGATTCCGTATCTCTCAACCGTACTTCCTGAAAAGATAAGCTTCATTTGCATTCCTGCTGCCTTTTCCAGCTGAACCTTGATATCATTCAGATAACATTGAGCTCTTTCTTTCAAGTGACGAAGTTCCTCTTCTGTCGGGATATTTTGTTCAACGCACAAAAGTATTTCTTCAAGCGATTTGGAACTTGTTCCGGTAAATATTAACTTTCTGTGACCACAAGAGACTGGGAAATAGATAGGCTGAAAGGGAAGAGCAAAACGCAGTGGCGTAGTGGTTAAACAAAGGCAGCATAAATAGAAACCGTTTCGTGCATAACACTGTACGTTATAAAAACCCTTCGCACCGATTGCTCTAAAAGATGTTGGATTAGTGGCTTCCCACTAATAAAGGAACATTATGAGTGATAAAGCGCGCTGCTATTGTTTTCCTTCTTACTTGTCACTTATCATCCACAAGCTGATTTTACACTACTTAGCAGTAAACAATCTTAAATAACTTTGAATGTCTATAAAAAGCCTTCGGAGCCTGAATCAGTACTACTTTTAGCATTTATCTCCAACTAGTACCTGTGCCCTTGTACAACGTGAGCTCACCTTTTTGGTTTGACAAACAAAACCACGTGACCTAAGTCGTTACTGCGAAACACAGAAAACCAAAACATGGATCGAAATCCACCAATCATAAACCACAAACCACGAACTTTTGAACTCGTTGAAGACAATTTCTGTTTCCTGAGAGGTCTGCTAAGATGATTGTCAGGACTGAAGAACGGAAGCACTATCTGGCTTTTGAACTTCAGAGTTCACGTGTTTTTGTGTGCTGTAACCGACAGGCGTATCTTTGAATTAGCGAAGTACCTGTTTCAGTAGTATTGCAACTGCAGTTGAATCTAAGTACAAATTTAGCTCATACCATTTTTCGTCCTAACATCCTTAAGGTGATCAACAGAAGGACTACAACACCTAGGCCTACTACAAAAGCGATACAGATTGAATCATCCTTTGCACAGCCTGTACCGAATCTGAAGATCTCGGCAACCAGTCTAACCAAGGAAACAGCGAAGAAAAATGCGATAAAAAATGCGACAGCACCCTTTATTGTTTTAACAGCACCACAGCATACTTTCATGATCGCTGGAAAGAGGGGGAAAAAAGAAAAATATATTAGCCAGTACTAATAATAACATTGATAATTAAAGAAATTCTTCTTAATTGATTGTCTTAGCCGACCCGCCTTGTTTAGCAAGACATGCAGATAGACAAAGAATAATCTCTAGTCATGTAATTTTATTCACACTAACACTGCAAATTGTGCTTGCCTTGAGTACATATGCCTGTCAGTGGCCTATCTGGCGGGTATACTGCCAGGGGGTACTGCCATACATGAAATCAGTTTATAGGTATGTGCCGCTGTTAACCCTTTTCACTGCCAGGGTGTTTGATGGAGTTTTGTAAGGTGACTCTACCTTTTGAGTCTATGGACGAAAACCTATGATGTGACCATTCAAATGAAAGATCTCTGCCTGTACTTTCACATGATGCTATTTGTTTGTCAAAATTTTAGAAATTTGGTCGAAATTTGCCTTTGGCCACATTTGGCAGTGAAAGGGTTAAGGGTCTGGTTTTTCAACCTACTCTGGGTAGGGTATAGAATCAGAGAGGTTGTGTCTAAAAAAAAAAGGATGTCATTTTTCGAAAAACTCCGTGGTCAATGGCTTGAAGATTTTACTCTAGGCTAGGGGAACCGGAAATCGGAAAATCTGAATTTACCTGCAATTAATTCAGTTAAATAGCAAAGAAAGTGTTCACCCCAGTATGAAATTTCCTGAAAATAGCTACTCTAGGATGCGGAGAGATGTTGGGGGCTTAGTCTAGTTTAGGGTAGCAAAATTCAGCCGAACTTACTAGGTCAGGTCTAGAGTAAAGGTTCCGGGGTCCCAGTGGCATATCCCTACCCGACCATTCTTAAATTACCCCCGGGGTACACTGTAGCTGGGCGTCATTGTTGAGCTTTTATACCTTCCACTGCAGACCTAGATTGGTCCATATGAAAATCTAAGCGGCATCAGCTGTTCAAAGCATTAGCTGTTTATACTGGTTTATAGCACTTTGCAAATGTTCATTCGTTCTTCTACTGCATTTCAACTGATTCTTCGCTGTGGGTAGACCGAAAGCGAAATTCTACAATATATCCAAAAATACTACGATAAAGGTTTTGTTCTTTATGACCTATGTCAACAGCAGGGCTGGTACTGAAAGCCTACAAGACTTTTCTTAGTCACCTACAGTTACATTTTCTAATGTTTTCCATGACTGCAGAGATGGATTGCGAAGAGTACAAATTAGTAGCCGTAAGTTTTTAGGCACAGACACTTCCTATCCCCTTACCCAAAAAGGACAAATCTCGAAAAAGGGGACTATGAACACCCTATAGCTAAAGTCAGTTACAATAAACGCGAGTACATACCTCCTAAATACACTCCGTACAGGTACAGACAACAATGTCTCGTGACTATCAGCAGATTTTTGGTCATATGACTATAAACATAACACCCTAAAATTCTCAAAATACTCAGTACGGTCTGGATCTAGCTAGCGATAGGCTAGGTTACGTTTGATCATCATCTATAAAGTAACTTTGAAACTACAGAGGCCACCCGAAACTTTGAAGCTAAGACTGTGGTGTTGATTATAACATTTTGGTCTTCCACTCACTTCCTTGATCATTTAGGCAAGATCACACATGACGCAAGTGAATGCTCGTATAGCCGGGGATTCCCCTTTTGCTAGCAGAGAAGACCAGATGTTTCCGGCATGTGATAAAACATGAAATGGACTGGAGTGGTAACTGCCAACCTTTGACATTGCTAAGTATTTTCCTTAGTCACCTCCAGTTACAGTTTCCAATGTTTCCCATGACTGCAGAGATGGATTGCGAAGAGTACAAATTAGTAGCCGTAAGTTTTTAGGCACAGACACTTCCTATCCCCTTACCCAAAAAGGACAAATCTCGAAAAAGGGGACTATGAACACCCTATAGCTAAAGTCAGTTCCACTCACTTCCTTTATCATTTAGGCAAGATCACACATGACGCAACTGAATGCTCGTATAGCCGGGGATTCCCCTTTTGCTAGGAGAGAAGACCAGATGTTTCCGGCATGTGATAAAACATGAAATGGACTGGAGTGGTAACTGCCGACCTTTGATATTGCTAAGTATTCGCAGCAAAATATCAAATGTGAATTTTAAGACCGACACTTGAAATGTGTTTTGCAACGGAACCAGTGGGGCTACAGAAAGGGTCTATCATCTGAATCATTGTTATTATACCTTACAGCGATGTGGAAGCTATCCATAAGACGATGGCAAAGTAATTGGAGCAATCTTTATTGATTTCAGAAAAGCCTTTCATTCCGTAGACCATAACATCCTAGGCTATGAGTTGCAAGCCTGCGGCATAACTGGTAGCCTTTGGGATTGGTTACTAAGGTCCTGCTAAGACACCGCTCCACTCATGTGCCGAACCTAATTGATGAAAGTACGACAAAAGAGCGGCGTCTGAATCAATTTCTTTTTTTTGGTACGGCAGTTTTAGCTAGGTGTGGCAAAGGTGTTTTGTGCGGCAAAAGTTCGACAGAGTCTGCCGGTTATAAGATGCATCCCGAAATCACAACAGAGTTAGAGCTATCAAGCAAACTTTTGTTGAAAAAATGCTGCGCTTTATAAGCGAAAAAATGCGGTATATATAGACTATATACCTCATGGAACTTTCTCCATATCAGTGTCGGGAAGCTGTTCTCTTGCTACTTTTGCCGAAATTCGAGGGCAACCAACAAGAATATAGTTCAAAACCACTTAAACATAACATTGTTGAATGTATTTTAGTATTTAAACGGTAGATATAGGCATATTTTTATCCCAGAGAATTTTTCATCTGTTCGGATTTCCTAGCTGAAAGTCCAGTATAGTGATTCGAAAATTACAGGGATCAAAACTTACCTTTTCGGAAATTTCAGCCAGAAAAAGGTTCCCGAAAATTCTAGGTGACCTTTTTAGGGTAAAAATCCGTTAAAAATGGGCAATTATACCATTTTTTAGATGTTCGAAAATCCTCGGAAAGACTGGCAAGCAAGAAATTATACAACAAATGTTCCGAAATTCTAGATCTTAAATCGTCTCGCAAACAGATATTTTCCGAAAATTGACGCTGGGTGCCCCTAGAGATTGAACGATTTGATCTAAGAGCGGCTAAATTAATACATAGCCTCCCCAAGAATATTATGAATTGTGAAAAATAACAGCGTGTTCACTGGCAAAGTTTTGGGTATATTCAGTTATAAACAAAGATTAGCTATTGAGATGTCAGGCAAAACACATGCTAAATAGTTTGTCTCAACATGTAATTAATAAATTACGGACTCAAGACGCAAATTAAAGTTAATGGAAGTACCTAGAAAAAAAAACAGAATTAGCTAGTACCAGGTAGAGACAGTCTTTTATTTAGGGGTCCAGTTGTCTGGAACTGTTTAGATACGACAACCTGAGAATGTGACAACATTGATACATTCAAAAGAGTTCTTAAAACATCTACCAACAAAGCAGCACTCATTTATTAGAGAAACCTGCATGAACTGCAATAAGGATCTTGATAACTTTGTATATGTTTAATTTTTTAATTTCGTTTTATTTTTTATATATATTAAGTCTTAACTGCTAGCTTGTAATTTCAAATTTTACCTTCTTAAGCTTGTATATAGTTGTATGTAGTTATATAGTTGTATATATATATATAGTTCAGTTTACAATGTATCTTTTATCTATCAATTAATCTATCTATTTATTTATTTATTTGTTATTTATTTGTTTTTTATTTGATTATTAGGCAGCTCCACATCAGCTATAATTAGTTGCCTGTATTTTATAACCTGCAATATCAAATAAATTATATATATATGTATGTATGTATGTAAAACATGGACTGGAGTGATAAAACATCTGAATTTGCGAGGTGCTGAGTGATAAACGGAAAAGAAATATTTTGAAAACAGACCTGGAACGAAAAAAAAAATTCTTGCATAACAGTATTAGTTACATGTAATAGTCTTACACCAAAAAATTCGATAACGATGGTAGACGTGGCATGCCTTAATTCTGACAGATCTACCGGTCAGTGAACCTCTATATCACGACTGAAGTCCTCGGTATAACGAACGGTATTCTTCAACCCAAAATATGAAGTCAGTAATTATGTTTATAGTGTTTATAGCGGAGCGTCCGCGAAGCAGAGCCCCCATAGCTACTGAAAATAGAAACATATAAATTAGCCTCCCACGCAGGCGTTTTTATGGGAGCTCGTGTTTCGTTTTGAGGAAGAACGAAATACGACAGGGGCACCCAACGACAATTTTCGGAAAATATCTGTTCGGAAGACGATTTGCGATCTGCAATTTTCGGAACATTTGTTGTAAAATTTCGTGCTTGCCTGCCTCTCCTAGGATTTTCGAACATCTAAAAAATGGTATAATTGCCCATTTTTAACGGATTTTTACCCTTAAAAGGTCACCTAGAATTTTCGGGAGCCTTTTTTCTGGCTGAAATTTTCGGAAAGGTAGGTTTTGATCCCTATAATTTTCGGATCACTAGACTTTCAGCTAGGAAAAACAGATGGAAAATTTCTAGGGAAAATTTCTAGGGAAAATTTCTAGGGAATAAAAATATGCCTATATCTACCGTTTAAATACTAAAATACGTTTAACAATGCTATGTTTAAGTGGTTTTGAACTATAGTCTCGTTGGGTGCCCCTGATACGAGGGAGAAAAATCGGAGTACTGAACACCTTTTATTCTGCATGACGTTTGAAGTTAACTTTTTAGATGTTGCTAATGGGGTAAAGCTGCGGTCAGTAGAAACCAGCTAAAAAACCGCTTCTCAGCAAGTAGCGAAGACAAACGCAGGTATGTCAGTTGTCACGGCAAGCCCGTCGCAAACAATGGGTTTAAACATTACCGCTACAAGAAAAAGTGAAAAATGACAAATTCAGCCTTTTAAGTCCTAACTAGAAAACCAAGAAGAAAATCTCCACTGGAAATTCTAACCAGAAAGTTAGTTCAACTCTCCGTGCCGTGGCCAAAACTCACATCACACGCAAAAACTCGTGGCATTCGGGCACTGTTTCTGGATAACGACGGGCTGTCCGTTACAGCGGGATGCTCGCAAGGCGAGAATCGACTGTAGATAGAAGAAGTCCTGTTTTTCCAGATGGAATGATCTAGATCGAAATTTGTGTTCCATTTCTTCTTGTTACAAGTTTTAAACCCTCAAGGCCTTTTTTTCCAGGAAATGAGACTGATTTTTGTTATCTCTGAAAAAAGCGCGGTTATCCCCAGTTTTCTTTTTGGATTTCAATAGCCCCTGATATGATCTACTTGTCTCACACAGTCATTATCTGGGAAAAAAATACTTCCCATTAGTGGGTACCGTCCTTAATGAGGTCCCAGGGCGAAATTTACCAGTTCTGTATTACGCATACCAAACTGTGAACCGACTGGTTTCCCCATGTAAATAGTAAACAACCAATCGTACCGATAATCGAGCGACTGGAGGTAGGCTACACCCGCATGCGAGATGGATCGAGAGGACAGAGTATACCGCAAAGCGCGAGAGATAAGCTTACAGCGCCGGACGAGGGGAAGAGAAAACATAGTAAAGTGAAGTTGTTAAATTAGCGATTGAATTCTTCTAGTGTGGTTGCGTTCTTATTTCTCGTGACAGATCAGTTTTATAAACCATTGATGTTACAGGGGAAAATTTGATGCTGATCACTCTTAGGGACCATGTCACGAAGATATTGCTGTTTTCGGTCAATTCTTTACTGAAATCATTACTTAGTGTCTCTACCCAGACACAAAACGCTCCTGTAAAGTTACAAAGAAGAAACCATACAAATTACCAAAATGGTTGTTTTGGCGATTTCTGGAGGCATAGCTTTCAAACTCGAAAACGTTGGCCCAATTTTAAGTGTCAACCCAAGTCCATCCTTACCATCTATTGCAATTTACGACGGGAAATAGTTTCAATGCCTGATTATAGTCTTAAATAACAAAACTGGACCATTATTTTTGGAATTTAAGACACGTGTTAGCTTTAAAAAAGGATAGCAAATTGCGTGACATAGCCCCTTTAAAGGGTTAACCGGATCAACCAGTCAAAATCCTTTCACTTGTCATATCTTCATGCTTATCCAATTTTCGCCGCCTTCTTTCGTGAGGAAGAGAAAAGAAAAACTAGATGTTGAAAAAGGAAGTCTTGTGAAAATTTAGGTTTCTGGGGAAAACGCCCACCTCTGCCCCTCCTTAATCCAAAATTGGATAGGAGGGTAGTTTCCCAGAAACCTACCCTACGAGCGGAGGCTACATTATCGCGTTGGTCCAAAATCAAACCAGCTAACAATTTTGCAATTTGAGGAGAGCTCCAACATAAGAAACTCAGCAATAACTAGGTTGAGCAAACTGATCGTTCAACTTTCTTTGTCC